CAGCTGTTTGGATAAACTCTTCGACAGGGCACGATGGCTTTATGAATTTAAGCGCAGCACTAGATTGGTAGCAAGGTCTCATCACTTGACATATGAAATGGCTAGCTATAACTGTAAATTCAATGCAAACTTTTTCTTTTCTCGCACTTCTCGCTTGCGGAACTCTCTTCCAATTGCATGCTTTCCAGCCAACTTTAATCTTCAAAAATTTAGATGCAATGTCAATCGCTATCTACTGTCTTCCTGGTTACACTTCTATTGTTCCCGCTCTTTAATAATGTTTCTGTTTTCGAATTCTTTCACACCCACTAACCCCTTGTGTCCTAGTCGCTTTACTGTCATGCTTAGAGTGAAATTGATTAATATATATATATATATATATATATATATATATATATATATATATATATATATATATATATATATATATTCCTGTATCCTATACGGGACCGTCATTTTAACTTGACGTGCCTTTACCGATTTAGCCACAGAGGCGCGTTCAGTTAGCAAGGTCGAATTTACTGTATTCAAATTTTAATCTTCCATGAATCTCTCACGTACATTCATACATTTTGATATTTTTTAGATTTTTGAGCAGATATGAATATACGTGAGAAATTCTTGGAAGATTGAAGTTTAAATACAGGAAATTCGACCTTGCTAACCGAACGCGCCTCTGTACAAATCAGTGAAGGCATATATATATATATATATATATATATATATATATATATATATATATATATATATGTGTATATATATATATATATAATTATTATTTATAAAAAATTATAACATAAGTATGTTATAAAATCACTACAAAAATAGGCATTTTGTTTCAACACACTCGGTGTCTTATCAAGTGATGATGTTGAAGATAAAATAAATGGTTTTAAAAGTTTCAGATTTTATTTTATCTTCAACATCATCACTTGATAAGACACCGAGTATGTTGAAACAAAATGGCTATTTTTGTAGTGATTTTATAACATATATGTTATATTATATTTTTTATAAATAATAATTATATCTGCTCTACTTTGTATTGAACACCCTTTTAAGAATAGTAATTGTTGGTTGTTGGAATTCATTCCGTATATACCAATTATATACTTGTATATATATATATATATATATATATATATATATATATATATATATATATATATATATATATCTCTGTGTGTATATATGTGTGGGGGGACAAGAGATAAAGAAAAAAGCGAGAAATGCTGAATGAGCCCGGCTTGATATGCATGTAAGCATATCGAACGCCAGGAATTTAAAATTTAAATTTTAAGATGAGCGTTCCTTCCCCTTCTGCATTTCTCTCAATGTATAATTATAACTAACCTTTGTTGTATTTCGTTCCCTCATTCCTACATATATATATATATATATATATAATTCCATCAATAAAAACATTATCAATTTGAAGAACTCCTTTCGAACGACGAAAAGCGTTCACGTAGATTTTTTTTTCTTTTTGTTATTCAGTTACTCACTATATATTTTAACCTAGAGACGGAGAGAGAGAGACAGAGTGAGAGTCAGAGAGAGAATTAATACAAGTAAAAAATTTTCAACATATTGATGTTACCTTCAGCATTCCAAGAATCACTCCATCCACTCGTCAGAGGGATATCAGCAATTGAATATGTATACTTCTCTATTTTTCTTTTAGGTCAGCACTCTTCACTGGTGCAAGGTTGATTCTTTTTCATAGTGTATGTGTGCGTGTGTATGTGTGTTCGTTCGCGTGCGCGCGCCTATACGCCTGTCTGCGCGTATGTGCGTACGTAATGTTTCAGTTCTAGTCACGTATCCTGACGAGTAGATGCAATCTACACGTAACTCAGAGGTAGGGGCAAGATTGATGAACATTTAATTTCATTTAACTTATTACTACTATTAAATGGTTGTGTGCGTAGAGCAGCGGTTATCGAAGCGGGGTTGAATCGAGCGTGCCGAGTTCGAATTCCGGATGAGTTCGTTGCGTTAACTTTCGCACAAATGCACACCCGAAAGATATGAATCCATCTCTTCTATCCCAAGATGAGCTCTCTGACCTTGATTGGAAACCAGTGTATGAGAAAGATAATTCTAGATTCAAAAACCAAATCAGCGGCATCTAGCGTGCTGAGGCTGTTACCCCAATGCTTCACATGGGCGTCTAATAAAAACCCTTATAGTACAATGAATGCACTATATCTTGTACTAAACACTATAATTACACGACTTTTTCAAAATTCTGAAAAAAAAAAATAAGCCAGTAACTGAAAATATTCAGAGAGAAAACAAGGAGTGGTTAGCGCAACGTACGCTTGTTATAATTGTAAAGAGGGTGGAACGTCATCATACTTATTATAAAACCCAGGTTGTGTGTGTGTGTGTGTGTGTGTTTGTGCGTGTGTGTGTGTCTGTTCGTTTATATATTGGATCGGATTTCCTACATTTTTCAACCGATTTCAACAAAACTTCACAGGACTACGTAAAATTACCTTGTGGTGGTTCTGACAGCGCCAAAAATTGGAAAAACACAATTGTTTTTGCACGAAATCAATTTGAAAACACAATTAAGAGGCATTAATGAAAGGGGGACAACTCATATCGAGTTATACTTATTATAAACCCCAGGTTGGTTGGTTGGTTGGTTGGTTATGTGTGTGTGTGTGTTCGTTTATATATGGGATCGGATTTCCTACATTTTTCAACTGATTTCAACAAAACCACTTTTTTTTGGCAGGTAGTGTTTCTTATTGTCTTGCACACTTTTTTCTTTATTTTTACATTCAGAATGCTTTAAAAATTCCATTTACAAGACAATTGTTTATAATAAAATTCTATTCAATCGGTAGACTCATAATGATTGAAAACAATGTTTTTGTTTGAGTTTGGGTTTGACCAATTCGTAAAAAAAAAAAATCTAATTAAGACATGCGTGTCCGTCAACCTTAAACAATAATCTTTGTCAATTTTATTTTTCACTCTTTATGATGGTCGATACTTGATCTATCTCTTACTACGCCGGGCTCTACTGCTAGTCATCTACATAATAAATGCAAATATCAGTGTGTCACTGTGTCACACTTTTCAATTTTACTCCTATAGGTTGTACCCCAATATATCATATTATTTTGGAATCAGGCCAACTCCGTGAGCAAATTAAAAATATTCCGGCTCGGATCCGGCGCCGCAATCCTGAAATTTGGGATTCCCAAGTTTTCATTACTGCGATAGTTCTCGATATTTTCTTTTCTTTTTTTTTTGGCGACGAATTTTTTATACAATAACAATTTTTATAACTTGGAAATAGATTCGGGAATAATCGAAATTAATTGTGAAGTCCAGCGAAAGTCACCCATGAAATAAAAATAATTGTTTTTACGGAAAGTAAAAGCCTACGCTCATCAAACTGTCTTTAAATTAAGTGGCGGCAGAAGAATTATCGTTGAACTCTTAAAAGGTAAGCTTAAATATTAATGCAATACTTAAATGTAGAGATCAATTTTGAGTTCGTCTGTAGTTTATTGTTGCCCATCGCATGTACTCCTCCCTACCTACTGCGATGAAGGCCCAATCAAGAGTCCTTCGCAGGAGCTAGCTTAAATGTCACCCAATATGGCGGCTTTTAAGCTAGTTCTGAATATTTCCTCAACGCTTCCTCATCTTACTTTATCATCTTTTACTTTCTTCATTTTTCTTCTCATCTCACTATCAAGGAAAGAGAAAAATAGAACAAGGAGTGAGAAGATAATTATTGACATTGCATTTAAATTCTTGAAGATCAAAGTTGACTGGAAAGCAAGGAGCCGGAAGATTTTCATAAGTGAGAAGTGTGATAGAAGAAACTGTTAGCATAGAAACATACGTTTTCATCTCGCCATTTCAACTGTAAAATGATGAGATGTAACCGCCAGTCTAGTACTGCGCTTAAATTCATAAAGTCTAGGTACCATAGAGTCTAGGCACCATAGAGTTTAGGTACCATAGAGTAAAGTTCAATTACAATCACAGTATTTACAGAAAAGGTACAAGAAAGCTGCATTATGGCTGTGGGAAATTGACTTAGATTTGGATTTCTTCAAGAATCTTTAAATGTATAGCAGGCGCACCAGGCCATATGTAGCAACAATATTCAAAGCATAGACGAATGGTAGATTTATAAACATGTAACAGATTCTGAAGATAAAAATTGTCTAGCACAACACATAAACCAACTTTCCTGGCTGTCGGCCAAGCAATTGATTCAATATAATCTTTCCATTTGATATCAACGGAAAACCTTAGTCCAACGACGTCTCATCATCTTTTTCCTTCTTTTCTTGCCATTATTAACTTTTGTATCTTGATATGTCTAGAAGTTGTTTTCTTCCTCGTCTTTTTCATCATCTTTTCATCTCCATTGTCTTTCTTTCCTTTCTACTTTTACTATTGTCCTCTTTTTCTTCCTCATCGTCTTCCTTCCCAGTCTTCCTCTTCTTCCACTACTTCTCTCTCATATTGTTTTTTTTTCTCTTAATTTTCCTGTCTCTTCTTTTTATCTTTACTTTTCATGTTCATCTTCCTCGCGTTCTTTCTTCTTTTTTATTTATCTTACTTATGATTTAAACTTTTTTTTTATCTTCTACGTCATCGTCGCGGTCATTATTTTCGTCTTCGTAATCCACTTCCTTCTTTTTCCGGCATTATCTTCTGCCCCGCTCCTATCCATCTTCGTTGTTTTTTTTTTTATTCTCCTTCTTCTTGGCCCCGTCAAAGTTACTTATAATCATTTAAACTCTGTGACCGACATTCTTTTGACGCCTGTCACCATCTCAGCAGATGAGTGTATTTTATTCAAGCAAAGTGCACTGAGTTGCTGCATCATTGAGCAGTGAACAAAGTGTGTGAGTAGGGGGGTGGGATGTCATACCTCTTCTCGACTTTCTTCGATGGATGGGTGAGTGGGTCGTAAATTACCCGGCCCCATTTGACTGACGCCCTATTCAAGAACTTGCTTATGTTGCATTTCGAACAACTGCGCATATTCCGGAGAGAAGAAAGGAACGAGGGAACGAAAGGACGAAGGAAGAACAAAGAAGGAACGAACGAACAAACGAACGAACGAACGAATGAAAAGGAGGGAAGGAAGAACAAACGAAGAAGGAACGAACGAAAAAAAAAGAAGGAAGGATGGAAGGAAGGAAGGAAGGAAGGAAGAACCGAACAAACGAACGAATAAGGAAGAAACGGACGAACAAAGAAGGAGCAAACGAATGAAGGAACAAACGAACGAAGAAACGTTCGAAGAAAGGAAGGAGGAAAAAACGAAGGAGGAGGCAAGGAGGAGAAAGGAAGGAAGGAATGAACGAACGAAGGGATAAAAGGAAGGAACAAACGAGAAAGGAAGGAACGCTCAAACAAACGGACGAAGGAAATAAGAAATGAATGAATGAAGAAACGAAGGAACGAACGAACGAACGAGGTGACGAACAAGCGGGCGAAGGAAGAAACGAACGAAAGAAAGAAAATGAATGAATGAAGAAACGAATGAACAAAGATATGAATGAATGAACGGGCGAATGAACGAAGGAATAATTAAACCACATGAAATAAAAAGAAACAATGGAAAACCGGAAATAAAACCTGATAGAAAGAAATACGATAAGGCAATTTCAGATACCGTGTTGGTCAACCTTATTTTAAAATAAATAAATAAATCTGAGAATTTTTTTAAATTTTTTTTATGAATTGAATAACGACCTCTCTTAAAATAATACTCTTTTTCATAGAAATATTCGTGGGGCAACTCGATATAGCGCAGGGATCTTCCAAGCGTAGCTTAGATGTGGCACAAGGCCGAAAGTAGGGGGGTACCCAGGGAGGATCGAACTCATTTCTCAGTCGTAATTGTTCTAGCGAGACAAGCTTGCTAACCATTACACCGCCTAGAGTAAACTTGTCTCGCTCGATAAATTACGAGTAGTGAGTGTGATCCTCACTGGGTGCCCCATAGTTTTGATCTTGTACCACATCTAAGCTAAAAGGTATTCGTGATTTTTTTTCATTATTTTATTTTTACGTTTTACTCAGCAGGTAGATGAAAAATGTACTTTTTAACAAAAGTAAATGGATCCGTTTAGGTAAAATTCACGCATCTCGAGAACAAAATATAATTACCTTTTGTAGACTTACTTTGATTTCTTAAAGGAAAACGTGAATCAGGACCGATGTCGTTAATGTTCTTGAAACACTCCTTATGTATTTGTGGAAGTAGTGTAGTCATTGAAAACTCAAAGGTTAACTTAGCAGCTGTCATCGACACCCACAATTATAGAAACCTGGGAAAATCTTTTCGCTGGTTCTGGTTAGAGGACGCATGTTGTGTAAACATAGAACGCGACCTTCGCCCAAGGCTTCCCACCGACCAGCCAGTGATCACCCCACGTTGCATTCCAGCCTTATTTTCGATCTCGTCGATGCTCACCAAAAGCTGGGAAAGGGCGTGATGCACGCTCACAATGAAAAAAAAAAAAAAAAAACGAAATGAGAATGTAATGTTTGCCATATTATATTACGATCACGAGTTCTATAACTCATTAAAGTCGTACGGGCACTCCTTGTACTGCATCCACAGCAGAAACGGAATATCTTTGACAAGATAATGTGACGGAGCCCAATCCTCTCGAGGCGAGTTTACCTTCTCCTAGACCAGTTACCACCTAAGGCTATAGAACCCAGTCTCTTCTACTATTTTATAGCTGGAGGAGAGGAGACAGATTCATGCCTTTCTCCACGTAAGTGAATGTAATTAACTCGACTGGAATTCGAACTCAGCTCTCCGATTTCTCAATTCCAGCTGCGATCCATAACTCCACCGTGGCTCTATATATAGAGAAATGTCTTATTCAGGGTTTCGCATGCTCATCCGAGTGGGTAGGTAAGCAACACCTGGAACAACTCCTGCTATGTCAGCCCTTCCCTCTGTCAACTCCTCGCCCATCTACTAATCCCGGCATGGTGACTGGCAAATATGAAATATATGCTTCGGAAACACTACACGGACACGTCCGTCTCCTGTCAAAGGAGCACCTGCGCTCTCTCCGCTTCCAAGCATAACTGTTAATATAGACCAGCACCCGGATATAACCTATTTCCGGTTTTGTTGTCACTTGATCTTCAAAAATCACTCATCCTCCACTTTAACTTTGGTTAAAATGAATGTCGCATAGAAGAGAGAAATTCAAAAGGAGCCATCAGCTGGTCTATCAAATGGAAACACTTGAGATCCAGATAAAAACCACCTTTTCCCCTTCTACGTGGGTTTTCATAGTATCACAGTTGTTTCGGTTAAAAAATGTTGTTCTTTTATGTGAAGTGACCCTTCAAAGCTACGACGATCATGTCTCTCCAGAATTTTGACAACTTCTGCAATATGAGCACTGGTAAAAATGGTTGCTGAAGAGATTAGGTTTATAATACCCAGAAATTCATACACGGATGTCCACAACGACACATGGCACAGTGTTGGTTAGATCCAATGACAGGCCCCAGAGTGTGTGAGTTCAATACCCGGTTAAGGTAGTGGAGAACCTACACCCATTAAATCATGGCACGTGGAACTAGAACAGTCTACCCCAGTGAGCGAAATAAAGGGTTCAGTTCGATATTCCAACCACCTGAAGAAGACCGAATAATGTAAATAATGCTCATTTTATGTATCCATTCAGAATCTAGGCGATCATGGCTCTGCACAATGTGCTTTGTAGCTCTTAATAAATTTTGTCTTTTGTATCTCCCCATAACCTTGTTCCACCAACCCAAATTCACTAAAAGTATGTTATACGTTGTTTTTCCTCTATCCCTCTTGCTTGTACTGTGAGTATAAGATTTTCTAATCCCTCTTTCCTTATTATGTGTTCTAGAAATGTCAACTATTTCTTCCTGATGTTAAGTATAAGTGTCATTTTTGTTGCCATTGTCTGTAGAACTTTGCCGTTGCTCCCATATTCTGTCCATGGTATCCTCAGCATCATCCTTCTGTAGAATGGTATTTCTGTTGCTTTAAGTCTCTTCTTCGTCTTTGAGAGATTGTCCAGTATTCACTGCCAGGTAGGAGGACAGATATCACGTAACAGTTCAGTTGTCTTTTCTTTGTTACTAACGAAGTTTTTCTATTTCTTAATACTCTGCTTAGCTTTTGGAAGGCATCTGTCGCTATCCCATTGCATCATTGGATTTCAATGTCGTATTTTCCATCACCTGTTAAAGCACTTTCCATATATTTAAATTGTTGTACTTGTTTGATTTTGGTATCTCCAATTTATAATTTACATTTTGGGCTCATCCTTTGCCAACAATCATGCATTCTGCTTTCTTACAGTTGATGTTTAATCTCTCCTTCACTAGCTCCTGTAGGAGTTTTTGTGGTTTTCTTTCTATGTTTGCTATCAACACTGTGTCATCGGTATATCTTGTATTGTTAAGATTGTTAGCTCCAATAACGAATTCTGGTAGGATTTTCAATTCTTTCAGAATCGTTTCACTGTATAAGTTGAATAAGTCTAGTGAGACGACACATCCTTGTCTTACACCCCTTTCTATTTTTGCATATCTGCTGAATCCATTTTCTATCCGTATGGAGGCGGTTTGCTGCCAGTATAGGCTATTGATTATTCTAATATCTTTCCTAAATATGTCAAGATTGCTGAGTAGTTCCAACAGATCTTTGTGGTGTACTTTATCGAAAGCTTTTTTGTAATCTATAAAACACTGGTACATGTCATTCTGCATTTGTATTGCTCTTTCTGATAACATTCTGAGTATAAATATCGCGTTCATTGTTCCAGTGTCTTTGACGAAGCCGCATTGTTTCTTGTTCTGTCTCTCGCCTGATTTTGCTGTGAGTTATCTTAATTAGAATTCGGATGATAAGTTTTATTATATGGCTCATTAGACTGATTGCCCGATGGAGTTCACATTCGTTTGCACTTGGCTTCTTTGGCAGTGCTATGAAAATAGATCTACTTACGTTATATCACCCACTGTTGTAGATTTCATCTATTCTTTCTGTAATCTTGTCCCTACCGAAATCATCTAACGCTGCCAGCATCACTATTACAATTCCGTCTGGATCTGCCGCTTTGTTTCTGTTCAATTTGGCCAGTGCAGATGCTGCTTAAGATTTTAATATTTCCAGTCTTTCTATATTTTTCTTTATTGTCGGTTGTTCTCTTTCGCCGTGGAAGAGTTCTCCGAAATATTCATTTCTATATCCGGAGTATTTTCTCTTTCTCTAATATCAGCGTTCCATCCTTGGATTTCATGCATCCTGTTGATGAGCATGTCGTTTGTCCTGTTCTCTCATTTTTATGCATATCTGCTTTATCTGTGGTACTTATTCTTTCTATTTCTGCACATTTTTCATTGAGCCATTCCTCTTTAGCCTTCCTGCATTTGTTCCTGATTTATTTGTGTAGTATCATATATTCTGTTCCGTGACTTGTCATTGCTTTTGTCTCCTTTTCATCATATCGAGAAGTTCATGCCATTCATTCTCGTTTTTTTTTCTTTGTCTATTTTCCTTTGAGATGATCTCGACAGCTGATGTTACTAAAGCTTCTCTTAATGTAACCCATTTCGAGTTTCCATTTTCATTTTGTCCATTGTATCTGCTTTTTACACTGTTCATATATTTCTCTTACAGATTGGTATCGTTCAAGAATCTGTCGAATTGTAATTTGGATGCTATCTTGACCCTCTTCAATTTCCTATCGTCTTCACTCTAAGATTACATATCACTGGAAGTTGGTCGCTTCCACGGTCGGCACTTGGATATGTTTTAGAAACTGCATTTCTTATTGATATTTATGTATTCGATTTTGATGTTTTTAATTATCCTTCTGAGCCTCTCCATGTCTCCATCTTGGGTGGTCTTGAAATCAGGTGTTGGCTACTAGCTGATCATTCACCGTACACCACCATTTTTCTCTACGTTCATTAAGAATTCTTAGTCTGAATTTGCCAACTATTTCACCATCTCTCTTGTTTCCTACTTTGACATTCAGGTCTCTCCTATAACAGCTGTCATTCTTTGCGATTTTCATTGAGCCTTGACGTTGTCTAGCGTTGACTAAAACTTTTCAATTTCTTCTGGACTTTTTGCTGTCGATGCATAAACAACAAAGTTGGGTATGCTGAAAAGCTTTCCTTTCAGTTTAACGACAAGAATTCTTTCAGATATTTGACAGTATCCCAGAACACATTTCTTCATGTCTTGTTTTTATATCGATCCTACTCCTTTTTCATTTTTCTCTCCACTTGCATATATGACCCTGTGTTTGTCACTGACGAAATCTCCATTGTTTACCCACCTTGTTCCATATTTGTCACCTTACTATCTCATATTTTGCCGTTCATTTACTTTTGTGGTTGCAATCAATGTTTTTCCTCTTAATATTCTTCCAGGTTAATAGTCTAATATCCTTTTACGCAAGCTCATTAGATTACTATTTTTAGTTTTTATCCAGCAATGATGAAAATAGATGAAAAATTTATTTTTTAACAAAATGCAAAAAAAAGAAGAATCTGCAATGTGATTGGCATCTCG